CTCTAGAAGGTTCTATCCAGTCTTGGGGCCTACGATGATGATGATGATGATGGCAGTAATGACAACCAGGGTTTATTGAGCATTCACTGTGTGCCAGGCACTGTGGTGGGGCTTACATGCTATACATCATCCAGTCATTATAAACTCATTATTAGGTACTACAGATGCACGGTCCCTTATCTGAAACCCTTGGGGCCAGATGTATTTTTCAATTTAGGGTTTTACCTATTTTAGAAAATTAACATGGTATGTAACCACATACGATGTAACACCCTTAGCAAGAATCTCCATAATCGAGTGCATTAACATGTCTGCAGCTACATACAGAGAGAGAGGTACAGTTACATGAATATATATGTATTATATATTTACATGAACAGGGATAAATAAAGATTATAAATTGCTTCAATTCAGATCAGCTTTTGCTGACATGAATTATTTTTTTAAACATGGATTTAAGAGCTTTTTGCTTCACCAGTTTTACAGATGAAGAAATAGGCTCAGGGAGGTGAATCTGCCTGAGCTTTCGCTGCTCCTAAGTGACGGGGCTGGGCCCAGGTTCGGGTCCAGCCAGACCTCACTGGCGAATCATTTCATGCTCCATCTCGTGGGGTGACACCCAGGGTTGCGTCGTGAGCTTCTTGCCCTCCCTTCTTCCCAGTGCTCTGTGACGCTTCTGCTAGAACGTAAGGAGAAGCAACCCCAGCCCTTACAAGGAGCTCCAGAAGACAGACCTTGAGCACGAGACTGTGCCAATCCTCAGCCACAGGCCGCCGTGGGTGACAGAGGGTCAGCCCGCTGTGCCCAGCACCTGTCTGAGCCGCCTTCTCCCTCCACGGACAGGCGAGCTCAGGGCCCACCCCTCAGGGCCACCCGACAAGGGATCCCATGCCCGTGCTGCTGTGGCTCCGGGCACCTGGGCGGCACTTCCTCTCCCTGCCTAGGCAGACAGTGGTGGGTGCCCATGGAGGTCCCAGCCTGGTGTAGGCTCGGTGAAGAGTGTGTGGCCATGACTTCTGGGCTTTTCTCAAGGGCTCTGGGTGGGGGGCTGGAGAGGTCACCTCGAGTCATACAGAAGTCACTGCTCAGCATCCAGGCCGTGTGTGGCAGCTGGCCCTACCCTTCCTCTTCGCTGCATCTCCCACTTCCTCGGCCATTCCATCTGCTCATCTCAAATGGTGTGCCAGCCCAGGTGTGCAAGCATGTGGCGTGTGTGTGGTGAGTGATGTGTGCTGTGCGGTGTGTGCATGTGGTGAGTGTGCCTGTGATGTGTGCTGTGTGGTGGGTGTGTGTGCATGTGACATGTGATCTGTGTGTGGTGAGTGTGCCTGTGATGTGTGCTGTGTGGTGGGTGTGAGTGTGTGTGTGACCTGTATGTGGTTGTGGTGAGTGTACCTGTGACATGTGCTGTGTGGTGGGTGTGAGCGTGTGAGTGTGACATGTATATGTGTGTGGTGAGTGTGTGTGATGTATGACGTGCTGTGTGGTGTGTGTGGTGAGTGTGTGTAACATATGACATACTGTGTCATGCGCATGTGTGTGCATGTGACGTGTGTGTGGTGAGTGTGTGACACATGACATACTGTGTTGTGTGTGCATGTGACATGTGTGTGGTGAGTGTGTAACATATGACATACCATGCCCTGTGTGTGCATGTGATGTGTGTGTGTGGTGAGTGTGCATGTGATGTGTGACATGTGCTTGTGGTGTGTGTGTGTGGCATGTGATGTGTGTGTGGTGAGTGTGCATGTGACGTGTGATGTGTGAGTGTATGTGTGAGTTGTGCTGTGTGTTGGGTGTGAGTGTGTGTGCGTGACGAGTGTGTGTGGTGCTGGTCACGGGAGTGGGGAGGGTGGGTGATGGTGGGTGAGGAGCTGGATGGGCACAGGGGAGCACGGACACGGTCCATCAGCAGGAACCTTCTTCATCCACATCCTGGCCCTCCCAGACCTGCGCCTTCACCCGCCCCAACACTGAGTCAGCAACACTCAGGGAAATTACCGTGTCTCTCGTGGCTCCACATCACCACCACAGGGGCAAGGCCAGCCATGTGATGTGGGACCTGGTCCTGTGTGGAAGTCCAGGGTACTGAGGCCTGTCATAAAATGGATGGAGCCTGCCCTGATGACAAGGAATAAGAGACGCCTGTTGTCCACAACTGAACTGGCCGGGGTGTGCTGGGCCCGTGTGCTCTGTGGCAGGTGGCACATGGCCGTTTCCCTGCTGGCCACATACCCCTGCACCCATGGCCGCAGGTCAGACCCCCCCATGCCCACTGGCCTTCCAGAGCCTGCCATGCCCACTGGCCTTCCAGACCCCACCGTGCCCACTGGCCTTCCAGACCCCACTGTGCCCACTGGCNCCTCAGGGCCACCCGACAAGGGATCCCATGCCCGTGCTGCTGTGGCTCCGGGCACCTGGGCGGCACTTCCTCTCCCTGCCTAGGCAGACAGTGGTGGGTGCCCATGGAGGTCCCAGCCTGGTGTAGGCTCGGTGAAGAGTGTGTGGCCATGACTTCTGGGCTTTTCTCAAGGGCTCTGGGTGGGGGGCTGGAGAGGTCACCTCGAGTCATACAGAAGTCACTGCTCAGCATCCAGGCCGTGTGTGGCAGCTGGCCCTACCCTTCCTCTTCGCTGCATCTCCCACTTCCTCGGCCATTCCATCTGCTCATCTCAAATGGTGTGCCAGCCCAGGTGTGCAAGCATGTGGCGTGTGTGTGGTGAGTGATGTGTGCTGTGCGGTGTGTGCATGTGGTGAGTGTGCCTGTGATGTGTGCTGTGTGGTGGGTGTGTGTGCATGTGACATGTGATCTGTGTGTGGTGAGTGTGCCTGTGACGTGTGCTGTGTGGTGGGTGTGAGTGTGTGTGTGACCTGTATGTGGTTGTGGTGAGTGTACCTGTGACATGTGCTGTGTGGTGGGTGTGAGCGTGTGAGTGTGACATGTATGTGTGTGTGGTGAGTGTGTGTAACATATGACATACTGTGTCATGTGCACGTGTGTGCATGTGACGTGTGTGTGGTGAGTGTGTGACACATGACATACTGTGTTGTGTGTGCATGTGACATGTGTGTGGTGAGTGTGTAACATATGACATACCATGCCCTGTGTGTGCATGTGATATGTGTGTGTGGTGAGTGTGCATGTGATGTGTGACATGTGCTTGTGGTGTGTGTGTGTGGCATGTGATGTGTGTTGGGTGTGAGTGTGTGTGCATGACGAGTGTGTGTGGTGCTGGTCACGGGAGTGGGGAGGGTGGGTGATGGTGGGTGAGGAG